GCATCAATATTTGAGGAGATTAAAATGGTTCTGAACCCTGCAATCATCAGCAACTTTTCACGCCTCTACTGTTGGTTTAGAAGAACGGTCATTGAAGCATCTGAAGATGGTTGGGACTAGAGTACTACCCCTGAGAAACTCAATGATGTTCTGGAGCTGAGTATTTTCTTCCATCAGTCTTCCTTTCAGCTTGTTTTGAATGCAATCAATGGGGAGCTTTCCCTCTTGATTTCCAGTGACTTCAGTTTTGCTTGGGCTGCTTAAAAACCATACAACCATAGAAATTATACAGCACAGAAGGAAGCCATTTAGTCCATTCTGTCCATACCAACCCAAAGACACCCAGCCATCCTTTCTAATCCCATCATCTTGTATACAGCACTTGAGGAACAGATGCAGGTACTTCTTAAGAGTTTAGGGTCTCTGCCTCCACCACAACTCAGGCAGTGAATTAGAGACAGCCACACCCTCTCCTTGAAAATGTTTTTCTTCATGTCCCCTCTAATCCTTCTGCCACTTAGTTTGAATCTATGACCACTGGTTTTGACCTGTCTGCCAAAGGAAACATATTCCTCCTGTCTACTCTATCGCTGTCCCTCACTATTTTGTATATTTCAATGTCACTTTTCTAATCCAAGGAAAACAACCCCAAGCTCTTCAATTTCTCCTCATAGCTACAAATCTTCAATCCTGGCGACATTCCAGTAAATCCTCTCTGCGTTTTCTCCAGAGCATGTCCGTTTGTCCTGTAATGTGATGACCAGAACTGCTCCAGTTGCAGCCTCACCACAGTCTTGTCAGTTTCATCTCTATATCTCTACTTTTGCATTCAATACCTCTGCCAATGAAGGAGAGCATTCCATATGCCTTCTTTACAACTTTATTTCCCTGTACTGCTACCTTTAGGGACGTGTGCATTTGTACACAAAGAGCTCTCATATCAGCTACACCTCTCAGCATATTCCATTTTACTGTTTGACCTCCTTAAATGTATTACATCGTACTTCTCAGAGTTGAACTCCATCTGCCACTTTTAAGCCCGATCCACCAACCAATCTATACCCTTTTGGAGTTTACAGCTATCCTTTACACTATCTGCTACACGGCCAATTTTTGTATCATCTGAAATTTCCAATTGTGACCCCAAGTTCAAGTTCAAGTCCACATTGTTAATGTATATAACAAACAGCAGGAGTCCCAACATTGAGCCTTGCAGAACACCACTTGAAACAGCTTTCTATTCGTAAGGGCAGTCATCGACCATTACCTTTTTGTTTCCTGTTACTAAGCCAACTTTGGATCCAATTTGATACATTACCTTGTATCCTATGGGCTTTCACTTTTTTGACCAGCTTGCCATGATGCGACTTTTAGAATATTGCGTACAGTTCTGGTCACCCTTCTATAGGAAGAGTGTTGTTAAAATTGAGAGGTTGCAGAAAAGATTGATAAGGATATTGTCATGACCGGAGGGTTTGAGTTATCGGGAGAGGCTGAATAGGTTGGGGCTATTTTCCTTGGCTAGAGGCTGATGGATGACCTTATTAGAGGTTTATAAAATCACAAAGGGCATGGATAGGGTAAATAACCAAAGTCTTTTTCCTCAGACTGTGGAGTCCAAAACTAGAGAGCATTGGCTTTTGGTGAGAGGGGAAAGATTTAAAAAAGACCTGATGGGGTAATTTTTTCATGCTAGAATGGTATGTGTATGGAATGAGGTGCCAGAGGGACTGGTAGGGGCAGATACAATTACAACAATAAAAAGGTAACTGGATGCGTATATGAATAGGAAGGGTTCAGAGGGATACAGGCCGAATGCTGGCGCATGGGACTAGGTCAGATTGGGATGTCTGTTTGGTGCAGACAGGTTGGACGGAAAAGTCTTTGTTCATGCTCTATGACTATATGACTCCATAAGTGCCTTAGTAAAATCCATGTAGACAACATCCACTGCAGTACTCTCATCGCTCTTCCTTATCACTTGTCAGAAGGCATTACCTTCCCTTAAAGCCATGCTTACTATTCCTGACTAGTCCATGCCTTTCTAATTGACAGTTTATCCAATCTCTCAGGTTTGATTCTAACAATTTGCCTACCACTGAAGTAAGACTAACTGGACTACCATTGGCATTTCCTTTGTACTTTTTTCAAACAACAGATTCGCATTCCTCCAATACTCCAGCACTTCACCTGTGTCTAATGAAGTTTGGAAAATAAACCTCAGATCATCTGCCATTTCCTCCCTGGCCACCTACAGCATCTGAGGGGACAATCCATCTGAACCTGGAGACTTATCCACTTTCAAGGATTCCAACTCCTCAAACATTTCCTCTCTCATTATGATTATTTTTGTCCAGTATTTCACATTGTTCCTGTTGGATTGTTGTTTCTACATCATCCCTTTCCTTTGTGAATACAGAGACAGAAAAGCATTTAAAATTCTTCCCATATCCTCTGCATCTTCTCACAGGTCCCTTCTTCATCTTTATTAGATCCCACTTTATCCTTAACTATCCTTTTGCCCTTTATGTACTGGTAAAACAACTTTGGATTTTCCTTTACCTTGCTTGCTAATATTTTCTCATGGCTTCTTTTACTTCCTGCAGTAGTGAGTTTTTTGACTATCATAAGCTTTCTTTTTTTCTGTTTAATCTTCCCCTGCTTATCTATGGACAACCATGGGGGTCTAGATTTGGCAGTACTGTTCTTATTTTGGAGGGAACATGTCTACTTTGTGCCTCAAGGATCTCACTGTTTAGTGCCTCCCACTGGTTTACCACTACTCTATCTTTTAGCAACCCTGTCCAGTCCACCTCAGCCAAATCACTTCTGAGTTTTGTAAAATTTGCCTTTCTCCAGTTAAAAACACTTTAATCCTGATTTATCTCTGTCTTCTTCCATAATAATCTAACTGAATTGTGGTCACTATCCCCAATTTGGTCGCCCACTGTCACTGCCCACTTGCCCACCTTCATTTCCCACAATTAAGTCCAAAATTGCATCTCATCTTATTGGGTTGTCACATATTGTTTTTAAAAAAAATTCATTGACGGAATATATGGATTTTTCATTGCCCCTTCTATTGTTTGAAACCCAATTCATATTAGGATATTTAAAATCTCCTACTATTATAGCCCCCTTATCCGTACAAGCAGAAATTTGTCTATGTATGTTCTTCTATCTTCCTCCCACTATTTGGGGGCCTGTAGTGTACTCCTGGTAGTGTGACTAACCCTTTTTAATACCAAATTCAACCCATAAAGCTTGATTTATTAACTCATTTATTTCATCCTTTCTGACAAATGCAGTTGATTCTTTAACCAATCTCTGCCCCTCCTTTTTTGTCATCCGATTTTTCCTGTCTGAAAACTCTATCTCCAGGGGTATTGAGCTGCAAATTTTGTCTCTCCTTTAGCTAGATTTCCATTCTAGCAACAACATTGCGCTGCCAACTGTTCCCTTGATTCATCTGCCTTGTTTGTAATGCTTGCCTTGAAGTATAAACCAGCTCAACCTTGTAAGTTTCCTTTGATGGGCACTTTTTAAAATCCTCATTTCTGTTGTTTTTCCAAATCGCTGACTACAGCACTAGCTAATGTTCTGCCTCCCATTTCCCGATCTGACTCTGACCCATCTTAAGCCTACACTTGGTTCCCATCCCCCTGCCATACTAGCTACAATGATGTCAAATTCTGTCAAATGCTGCTATGATGTCAACTACAGGTTATTTTCACCTCTAGTATTTAGCTCTCGTGCCTGTGTTTGAATCAAGGTTTTAAATGAGGTTAGTAGCTAAGTTGGCTTGGTGGTACCAAACTGAGCATAGTGAACTGGCTAGGTCAATGCCCATTTTGTAGCTTTACTGGAACAGCTTAGCAAGATTGGAACAAAGTGGAGTACAACTCTTCAGTACTGCAACTGAGATGTCATCAGGTCTTTTCTAAGATACTGACTCAGTCATTTCATAACATTGTATTCCATCGAATGAATCAACTTGCCTAATGACCAGTTGCAGTTATGCTGAAGTGCTAGGGAGGAGGCAAAGATGCATTAACTACTTGTTTCTTTGAGATGAAGTTGGTTACATATATTTCAGCTTTTGCATTGTCATGCTCTCCTTCACCATATTGACAGTTGGGATGTTTTTCATTTGGGATACTTTTGACATCTAAACTGATGTGAGGAGGTCAAAGAAGGTTTCTAGAGGGGACTGTTTGCTCCTTAATGCCTTGGTCCACATTTCAAGCATCGCAACATAATTTCTCCTTCATACAGCACTCCCCATGCAGGAGATGTAAGGTCTGCTCCTTACTCCTTTGCCCTTTCTCACCGTCCCAAGATCCCAAACATACTTTCCATGTGAAACTTGATTTAGTTGTATTTTCGATTTGGTATGCTGTATTGACTGCCAATAATATGGTCTCTACATCAGGGAAACCAAACACAGATTGGCTGACTGCTTCATGGGAGATAAATGTCACAGCGTGATCCTGTGCTTCCAGTTGCCTGTCGTTTTAATGTCCACCTCACTCCCATTCTGATCATTTTCTCCTCTGCTTCCTAAACTGTTCCAGTGAAATTCCCTGTAAGCTCAAGAAACAGCATTTTTCAGTTTTCAACGTCTTTCCTGTTAAAGGCTGGTAGATCTCTAAGTGCCCCTAGTTGTGATGAAAAGCCATCATACTGAAAGACTAACCCCTGTTTTTCTTCTCTAAGATCCTGTCAATTGATTTTTTTCCAACATTTTCTATTTCAATCTAGTCAATATAATCTGTCCCCATAATTGTAAACTTTTGTCCAGTTATATTTCCTGATCTTTCTGCTGTTCAAGATGATAACTTTTTATCCAATTTTAGTGTGCAAGACCAGCTGCTGAAGGCATTAGCATGTGATGACGATTGCAATGGTATTGTTGTTAGAGAGGTTCTAGAAGGTTCTATGGCAGGTGTCTCAACTCCTGTTAGTTTGTTTGTAACAGGCCTGTTTTTCTTTGTTCTCAGTTACAGTTGCAGAAATCTCAGTATTTACAGTTGGGACAGGGTCGGGGTCAGTACTATGGAGGCTCCCTTCCCAACGTCAACCAGATTGGGAGCACCACTCTGGACCTCCCTTTTCAGGTGAGTTTATCTCTAGGTTAAAAAAGAATCAATATGAACCGAGCATAAAACCAGGATTAGAGTAAACATATAACAGGTCCCTTAATATTGTAAAGGAGATAGTACTAAGTACAAAGAGAGAGCCTAATACTTCACAGAAATTGTTGTCCTGATTATTTATACCATATCATCTGAGTTTAGACTTTGGTCAGAATTATCAGAATGTGGTATGTAGTAAATAATGTGATTGACATTAGTGAAGATTTTTGCTTCCTTTCTTTTCAACGGTTGCAAATGCTAATTGAAGAATTGTCTACTGTGTTTCTTTTACTTAGTGTTAAAACAAGAGGAGCTGCAGGTCACTGGTTTACAGTTAGGGTTAGGATAATCCTGTTCATGACTCCTGCCGATCTCTGACAGATACAATGTATCTCAGAAAAATAAGAGTCGGCGTTGTTAGGCTTCAGGTACCGGTAACCTGGATTGCTTGTAGCTTTTTAGCCTTCTGTGACCCAGTGGATCATGAGCATTAGCAAATTACAGAGCTGTCTGTTTGACCATTTGTAAGGCACTGCCCAATGTGAATCTCTGTTGTCAAGTCATGTATTGTCTATGAAAATTCAATGAACTGTTCACAGTGTGCATTTTAATGGATGTGAGTGTATTGAAGAGCTGGCTCATTCTGCGCATGTCTCCCAAATTCCTCTCCAGTTAGACAGCAGAATAAGAAGAAATGGAGAAATATACAATCCTCTTCTTTTTGTCAGAAAATAAATCTGCCCAACATGCTATCATTTTGTTTGCTGCGCTGTTACCTATTGGGTAAATTAAATCGGGTCTGGGTGAGTGCTGCTGTAGGTCACATGGAGAGTCTTGGATTCTCAGGTACTGACGACATTGTTCCTACCTACAGGCTTGATATTTGTCTCTGCTTGGTATCTTCCCTGGGATTGTGTTTTAGTGGTGTAGCAGAGCAGGGTTATTCACCAAGATATTGTGCTGCTCAGTATTGAACTGATAATTGCTGATAAATTCTGTCTGCTGATCACCACATTGGTGCCTGCTAAAATCACCCAATTTCACCTTTCAGTTCTTGTTTTTGTAATTCTGTAATTTTGTAATTCTGTTGAGTGTCCCACAACAGAAGATCAGAGTGGAGTTAGTGTTATGAGGGAATAAGTAAATTTCCCTGTACAAAGGCTGCTTGTAAGCATCTTGCTTTTTATTCTAGTTATGTATTTCTTGACTTGTTTCCTGCGCTGCTCGGCTGACAGTGCAATTTCAGAGCATCATCATAGCTCTCTCAATAGAGGATGCCTTGAGAGTTTATGCTGTCCTTTTGTGCATGTTAAGAATTGATTTTTTTTAATATTTGATCTTTCAGTCACAATGTGGGGAATTGATACTTGTCTTTTCTCTGGGTAATGACTGCACAGCAGCAGTGAGCTCACCAATGTTCTTGAGTAAAAGACCAGGAACAGCATGAAATAGCCATGCTAATATTGAATATCTGTTTGACAGAGTTGATTATAAATAAGTGAGATTGACTACAATAAAAGTAAAATGGTGTGGATGCTAAAAGTTTGAAATACATGCACTCTGCGAGAAACACTCAGTAGGAAAGGCAGGATCATTGTACAGAGAAATCGTGTTAATGTTTTATATCAGTGAGCTTACCTGTAGTTGAGACTTGGGTTTAAATTGTAAATACTTCATTACATCTCAGTGATTCTCAATTTCTTCTTCAACTTCCCCTCTTCACCAGACATCAATGCAGCAGCAAGGGCCTCAGTCCAGTTGCGTGTCTGAATACTGGCAATCTGCTCACTTTTTACAGAAACTTTGCCATGAGTTTCAATCTTATGCTGTTGAAAATTTTGTAGCTTTTGTTCAATTGATTCCAATGTCTCCAGGTTAAAGAAATGAGGAAATGTCAATGTTCCTGTCACTAATCATGATGCAGTGCTCAACCCGTTTGTCTCTTCTGATAGACTTAAATGTGTAACATACACAACCCAATACTAACTGAGGATGTGCTGCAGGAATCTAATTAGTTTTGTAGTAATTTGTTGGGGTACAGTAAATGTTTTCCTGATTTATAGTTAATTGTTAGTTAGATTGAACAGACTCCAGCCTTTGCACGTGGGTCCCATGATAAGCCTAAAACCAGCTGCCGAGGGGCAAATGGGCAAAACATCTAAATCCTACACTTAGTCCTTCAAATAAAGAGGAAAGTAAAAGGCAATTCAGATTTAAGTATAGTGCAGAATACTGAAGGACTCCCTCACATTTGTGTTGCAGACTCCGTTCCAGTCAACTACCTTGGACACGAGTAGATCAACCAGACATCATGGCTTGGTTGACCGGGTCTACAGGGATCGAAATCGACTGGGATCACCGCACCGCCGTGCCATTCCTGTTGACAAACACGGGCGCCAGATATCCTTCCTCTATCAGTATGATGTGGATACTGAAATGTGATCCAGAACAGGAAGGATAGAGGAGAATGACCTGTGGTGAGGATCTCTCACCAATACTGCCAGGTAAAACCATGTTGCTTTGATATGTTTGGGTCTAGTCCTGAAGAGCTCTTTGACAGGTGGTGTCCTATCTCTGGATCTGATCTGAAAATATCAGTCATGCAACAGGGAATGTTTTCACAGGAAGTATTTATGTCATTTTGGAGCCATCACTTTACTGTCAAAGCAACACAAGTGGTCTTGTTGCTCAGTGTTATCATGCACTCATCAGGAAGTATTTTACTGTATGTAACACCTTGATGTTCATTGTTCTTCTTAAAAATTGTTAATCTTGTCTTCGGTTATTAATATACAGTATTGCTACCCACATGTAGTTACCGTAATATTTAATTCTAATGAGTACTGGTTTGATAATATATATGATTATAGAGTCATACAGCATGGAAACAAACCCTTTGGCCCAACTTATTCATGATGACCAAGTTTCCCAAGCTAAACTGTCCCATTTGATTGCATTTGGCCCATACCCTACTAAACCTTTCCTATTCATGTACCTGTCTGAAAGTCTTTTAAACATTGTAACTGTACCTACATCCTGCACTTCCTCTGATAGTTCATTCCACGTACAAACCACCCTCTGTGTGAAAAAGTTGCCCCTCAGGTCCCTTTTAAATCTTTCGCCTCTCACCTTAAAATTATGCCCTCTAGTTTTGAACTAACCTATCCTAGGGAAAAAGCCTTTGCTATTCACCTTATCTATGCCCCCATGATTTTATAAAACTCTATAAGGTCACCCCTCAGCCTCCAATGCCCCAGTGAGAAAAGTCCCAGCTTATTCAGCCTTTCCTTATAATTCAAACCCTCCAGCTCCAGTAACATGCTTGTAAATCTTTTCTGCACCCTCTCCAACTTAATAATATCCTTCCTATAGCAGCGCAGCCAGAACTGTAGACAGTATTCCAAAAGTCAACTCACCAATGCGCTCTACATCCCCAATATTTTGTCCCAACTTCTATGCTCAGTGTGTGTGTGAGTGAAAGCATGCATGTACTCCATCAGATGAACAGCAATGATTTGAGAAGGCAGCTCACCATTGCCCTCTTGGGGACAGTTGGGGATGGGCATCAAATGCTCACCTATCAGTGATGCTAACATTCCAAAACAAAATTTTGAAAAAATAAAGATTGTCAACTTGATGTCATCAAAAACTTGCCTTTAGGAACAAACCTCCATGCAGGCGGTTCTTACTAATGTCTGGGAGCTTGTGCCAAAATTGGAAAAGCTGTCTCAGATGAATCAAATTATACTTTACGGATAAGAGACTCTAACACCTCTGTGTATATCTTGTCCCACCAGTAAAACAGACTCAGTAGAGTTGATGGTGACCGAGTTGGGAGGGGTGTTGTCCTTGGGGTCTTCAACACTGATAACTCATGGAATCAGGACAAATATTGGCAAGGAATTATTCTTTGATTACCATGTAAGCACCCAGCTGATAAATGAGTACCCCTCGATGCTGAACACATCTTGGAGGAAGCAGTGAAGGTGACAGGTGCAGAATATAATCTGGTGTGAAAATTCATTCTTAACTGCCAAGAGTGGCTCGACAGCACCATGATTTATGTAGCTATTAAAGTACATAGCTGCTGGTTTGTGTCTGGGGCAGCTTGTCAGGGAACTAATGAGGGGAAAAAAGTATTCAATTTCATTCTCACCTGTCTACCTGCTGCGGATGCATCTTTTTATGACACTTAGTATGAGCGTCAAGTCTTTTGCAGATGTAAATATGCCACCTTCACAGGTTCCACCTTATCGATTATTATTATTATTATTATTATTATTATTATTATTATTATTATTAT